AGATTTTTGCTGAGTTGCTAGTTTCCCGGACTGAGCTCCAAATTTGGATCCTCTTGCCTCAGCCTCCCGGAGTACTGAGATTGTAGGAATGTACTACCACACCCAATTTATGGATGATGCTACTAAAATTTTTTGTACCCTTACTGAGACCTTTGCTATATGGACTATGCTCTTTATTGTCTAAAAGGCAGGGAGAACTGAATATTCTCATTTACTGACAATTTTTGTCTTTTAATGAATTTTTTCTTCTCCTTGTGCTATTCTCTCTCTCTCTCTCTCTCTCTCTCTCTCTCTCTCTCTCTCCAGGGTCTTATAGTTAAGGCTATTCTTCATTTCTCATAATCTGAAAGCACTTGATAGGTATGATCAAATGGCTATGAAAATCTTTCTATTTTTAGCTCTGCTGACTAAAACAGGAAACTGAGAAAGCCAAGTATATAGTTTAAACTCTTAGGGGCCACTCAACTTTGTTATTTTTTCTCAGCTTGAATTTTACTGTTAACCTCAGCTAGGTACAATATGTGAACCCGTTAGTCACAGAAATAATGAAGTAGGACCAGTTAAGCAGCATGGATGAAACAATGCAAAACGCATGTGGCACTAATGGTGGTGAGAGTACTATGTCACCTATAAAAATGAGGACAGATACAATACTGGGGGGAGGATATGAGCCAAGATTTGGAGGCACATGGTGTGTTTGTAGCAATCTGACAGTAGAACAAAGCCTTGATTTTGGTAGATGTTAGCTATACATTGTATATAGCATAGTATGAGTATTTCCTGTTCTAGGTTGGTCTGACACATTTTGAAAGAAATTTTGACTAAGCCCTAAAACTGTTAGTTGCCCTTTGTCTCCATAAGAATTTAATCCTCAATTTTTTTTTTTTTTTTTTTTTTTTTTTTTTTTTTTTTTTTTTTTTTTGTGTGGGGGATACATACAGAGTCTATCTGAGAAGTCAAGGAAAGTATTTCGAATATTCCGGCAGTGGGAATCTTTGTGCTCATCCTGAATATGGTCCAGCCCCTCTGTGGAGAGAATTGGAATGAAAGTGACTTTTTGAAAAATTGGAATGAGTGACTCATTGAACAGTTTGGCTTTATCAGAAGGATCCCCAGGCATGGGGAACAGCGGATAGTGCAGGCACTGTTCTGTTAAAGGACTGAAGAGTTATTAAGCCACATGAAGGAAGACCAAGGATGGAAGAATTTACTCTCAGCAGCTTTAGTGCGGACAGTGTTCTGAGGATCTGTATATCCCAGGAATCTGACAGTGTATGTTAATAAAGTATTTGCTAAGATACTTCCTGCTGGAGAATTGTTTTCTGCCTTGCCTAATGGGTTGGAGAAGACTTCAGTGTAACAGTGAACAGAGTCAAACTTCGGGTTTTCAGAGCAACTGCAAAACCTACAATTTATTTTTTAATTTCAGTCTAAGAGGTACATGTAGTCTTTCTTAAACCAAAGACTAGGAATTTCTTTTATGTCACTAGATCTCCCGGGGTAAGGCAGTGTGGGTAGACTGAACATTTTTCTTCTTGCTTCAGTGACAACAGAGTAAGGTAGTAGAATGGAAGGAGGGAGGAAGCCACCCAGAAAAGGCCCTCCACATGCCTTCTTATGCCTGCCTGTCTGATTAGGGATACAGGGCTCTGTCACTGCTGTGCCACTGTCAGCTTCTGTGATAGAGGATTGACCCTGAACCCAACCCATCTAAACACAGCTGCCCACTGATGGAGTGCCACCGCCCACTGAAGGCTGGAAAGGAAAAAGGACTTAACTGCTTGATTTGTTTTAGAATTCTCTTTTTCCCCTTATTTTGTTTTTTGTTTGTTCTGTGTTTTGAGACAGGGTCTTGCTATGTCATCCAGGCTGGCCTAAAACTCATGGCAACCTCAGCCTCCTGAGTGGCGGGATTACAGATGTGCACCACACCTGGTGAGTCTTTAGTGTAAAAAAAAAAAAAAAAAAAAAATCATGCTGAGGGCTGGGGAGATGGCTCAGTAGAATAGGCACTTGCCTGGCAAGTGCAAGGGTCTGAGTTCAATCCCCGGTTCTGCCAAAAATAAAACATAAAAGACTAAGCAGTGGGCCGGTGAGATAGTTCAGCAGTCTAAAGTGCCTGCTTAGGCAAGCTTAAGCAGGTGCAGGGGACTGCAGTTCCATCCCCGGCACCACGTGATGTGGCAGCCCCACCCTCAGGGCAGGCTGAGCCAGCCAAAAAA